AGAAGTGACTCTTGAAGTCATACTTCAAGTTGTTTTAATGAAAGTATTAAGACTTTATTAGCAAAGAAGTATAAAAATTTCTTGCGAACATCTTTTTTGTGTGTGGTCAGAGGATCAGCGGAAAGAGTTCTAATTAAATTATTGTTAGAGTTTTAATAATTCCTTAAAATAGAGACAAATGAGTTAGGTAGAGACTTAGCTTTAGTGATACATTTTCCAATGTAAAGTATACATATGTTTAATAAAGTACATATAACTAGCCTAACAAAGGATACAAAAAAAAATAAAATAAATATATCATAACTTTCTTAATTAAATCAGCTTATACTTAAAAAGTAAATAAACTTAGCTAGGAATTGAATGATTAACACAAGTCATAAATAACAGGTTCTAATAAGTTAATATTAAGCTTTATATTAACTTTTTTCTTAAATTCACTAAATTAATTTGACTATATATATATTTGATAGGTATTAATAATTCTTTCAATATATTTAGATATTATTTGCTCAAATCTAAAAAGAAGATATATTATTTTTTTTGTTACATTTGTAATACAAATTAATCTGATTAATAAATTTTTAATTAAGTTTAGTATCACATTGAAATATTTTGAGCTAAGAGGTTTAAATTCTAAAGTCTATTAGTATAGTTTGGAAAAAAATGTTCAAACAATTACTACAGTCCTAAAAGCAAGATTTTAGAATCTACTAATACAAGTAGAATTAAATTATGTTTAAACAATTGTTGCAGTTCTAAAATCAGAGTTTTGGAATTTTGCTCTTATCTAGTTTAGGGGGAAATCAAATGTTTATCATATCAAACCAGAGACCTTTCTTTATATAATCTTTATAATAGATTATTTCAGCTTAGTAATCAATAAGGAGATCAAAAGTTCTATTCTTCTGCAATTTGATTATTTTTTTCACATAGTTTTCATATAGTATTGAACTCTAGATCTTGTAATTGCAACCGGGAAGCACTACTACTATATTATAAATCTATAAGTCAAATATTTCAAAATATTATATACTTTATAAGTGTTTTAAAATAATATATAAAAACTTAAAATAAATATTAACAAAAGTTATTCTCACTTACACATGCAGCTGAAAAAAACTATCAAAAAAAGAAATTCAAAAATTTCTACATCAAGGAAGAAAAACAAAGACCTTGGAAGATACACATCTCTCAAAGGTCAAACTTATAACTATGAACATATTCTTCTGATGTTTTAGTCACCACTATTAGCAACCCGAAGCTATTATTATTTACAAAAACATCAAAATCAAAAAAATTACAGTCACCACTTCAACGAACTCCTTCTGCCTTTCTAAGCTAGTAACTGCCCAAGAATATGGCTAATACCAGTCTGGTACCCTCAAAATAAAAAAGAAGAAGTCAAAGTAATAATAGCATCTTTTGAAGACTATCAAAGAACAAGACTGTTATCAGTACAAACAGTAGCCTTTCTAACTACACCTGAACCAATGTTACTACAAAATCTGAATGTATTTCTTGACTTCTAATATATCTTTCAAATCACAGGTGATAATAGAATTGACATAATGAAGGAAATCCAAAGATTGGACCTAAACTATAGCCTTCACATCCCTTGGAACAAGCTAAACATTACTACCAATGAAGTTAATTAAACTTTCACTTTGGAAAGAAAAACCAAAATGCCCATACCCCCTCCAAACACCTCAGCACCCAATAAGGAAATGAGCGATGACAATAAAATACAAGATGATTGTTCTCTTGATGTACCCTCTGCAAATAGTCACACAGACAACAATACTGATGTACAAGTAGGCTCCAGCTCAAAAATGGAAATAAATATGCAAGATATATATCCCAGCAGTTTCATTCAACAGGTATCATCCCATCTCAAGGACACTCAATCCTGGGTCGATGAAGTTAACAACCAAGTTGCCAACAAACCCAACACACTCTCCACAATTGATAGTAACATCAGGACAATAAAAAATTCTCGAACTCTATAAAGAAGTAGACAAATGCAAGAAAAATGTCGAACAGATCATTCAATGGTTCCTCAAGCTCAAACAAGCTGGACCTTCAGAATTAAGCCATCAACCAAAGCTATCATAACAAAAATTAGTTACAGAGACTGCAACTTTTTCAGAATCTTTACAAGGGAAGCCCTGATTAAGGAACAATACCAAGTCGAATATGAAAATATAGAAAAAGGATTCCATACAACTATCTTAAAGCAAATAACATTGGTTATATTAATAGAGCTATACGAAAGAAAATCAGAGTTATCACCAACAAAGCTCTCTTTATTACATATCTCAAATCAACAGACCTTACTCTTCTCAAACACTAGTAAGCTGCTCAATTTTTTGAATATGGATTCAACTTTTTCATCAATCCCATAGCAGAAAAATTAGACTATCAAGCCTTATCAATAAAATGTGAAGAATTAATCAAGGATAAGTTACCTTTGCTATCAACAATCCCAATCCAAGTTTTGCCTCAATAAAGATAAACTCCCCAAGATTATTTTCATTGTGTCACCTAGGCATACCATCAAAGTCATTAATAGTCTTAAAGCTTTCTATAATTTTGACAAATTATCTAACTCATTTTTCGTACAAAGACCAATCATTTCAGACAACCCTTCAGACTTACGATCTGAGGTTAAGGTTCTTTTTCCATTAACCAGACACAGTGACCTTAGGAACTTAAGTGACCTAATGGACAAACTTAGAAACTTCTACTATATTCCAGCCAAGATACCAGAGGCTTACTTCAAGCTCCTATCTCCTAAGACCACATTACCTGCTTCATACTTTGAGCTTCCTCCTCAAATTGCTTATCAATTTTCAGTTGAAAACAATACAGAGGCCATTTGATTAGCAATAAAACTTCTTATATTCAACAACTTTACAGTTAAACACTTACTACTTGACTACATTCAAGCAAAACACCCACTTTTTCTTCACATTGATATAGCGAGAATAACTTCACCATGCTACCAATACAGTCACAAGACGCAATCAAAGAATTCATTCAAATACTCAGACAGAAATTCTTCTTCAAACTTTTATTGAGTCTTAAATGGATTGATGAGGGCTTAAACCAAGATAAAATAATATATATACCCAAATCACCAGAGGAACTAAAAGAGAAACTTAATATTACTAGGGAATAACTACACAGAGACTCAACCAAACAATTAACAAAATCAAAAATACTTATCAGGAACAAATCCCAGGTGAATGGATCTCACCAGTTTTGCCAACTCTACCCACAATCTCAGAAGCCAATGATTATCTCCAAAAAAATGAACTCAACTTGGTGCTACCCTCATCGAAGATCAATTTTTAAACATCACCATCAAATTACTTAAACATCATTTCTTCTTTGAAAAACTTCCTTCAGATTTTGTTATCGAAAAAAAGTCACTTAACTCAGGACTGACACTTCTTCTATACCTATTTTAATGTCATCACATTCCAATATACCTAACTCACAGTACACTCTTTCTTCAATTTTACAACAATAGAATCCCACAACAAATATCAAAAACCTTCTCACAATTTTCATACTCAATGTTAGAGGCTTGCACCAGCAAGAAAAACTTCATGAAATAGTCAAATCTATGAATAATGAAATAGCAATCTTCTGTTGCACTGAGACAAAAAACACAATAACTAAATCCCTATTAAAAAGAATTAACAACAAAGTAATTATTTCAAGTAAATTTAGTCCCACACTCATGAATGGTATATGCTTAATATTCATCAAAAAAATCTCAAGCTATATTTTCAACACTTTTATAGAAAATGAATTCTGGTGTACAGCCCATCTCAAATTTAAACCAAAAGTAGATGTTATAATTATCTCCCTGACCTACCTCACGAGAAGACAGAAAGACGAATTGCTACCCAATCACTTAGAATTTTCTTGAAGCAACATATAACCAAACATCTCATAGTCATGAGTGACTTTAACTCCTATTCACGACAATCATTATCTATCAATGCACTAACTCTATATTATAAACAACTTATATATAATCACATCTCTAAACTAGTTGACATAGCAAAAGTTACCAATAAAGAACATCACTACACACATGTCACTAGTACTAGTGACTCAAGAATAGATCAAATTTGGATATCTACAAACCTTGCAAGCAAAGTCCTAAGTTACAAAGTATTAGACCAAACAGCCATCTTTTTTGACTACAAAATGATCACAATAGTTTTGGATTGGTTCAAATATAAGCCAAGCCAAATAAACTTCTCAATCAAAGTCTTCTAATTCGATAATGCTACAAAAGAGCAAATTTAATCAATGAAAGAATCCATTGATCTTGCCTATACAAACACAAAGTCTTTATTCTGGGATGAAATCAATAGAATCATAAAAAGCACTATAAATGGAAATATTCCCTCAAAGAAATAAACAGTTCCAACCATATTAGGAAAGGCTTTTCTGCAATATGACACTGTCATCAAACCCATAAAAAGAGTAATTTCATACCTGTATTCAAACAAACCAATATTAAAACTCCTCTGTCTAGCACTCATAATCCATAACAAAATAATAAATTACTCCTGATAGTTAACTCACTTAACAAAGTCTTTAAAAGCCTCCTAATGGAAAAACTTGTTCAAGCAAAATCATTGACATTAGAAAAGATCAAATATCAAATAGAAAAAAATTTCTAAAAATTCTGGGAAAAACCCAAGGCAGTCATTAAAAAAGCTTTAAGTGATCTCAAGCCATCTTTCAATCGCTCTATTCTCTCTGACGAAGACCAATTACAGGACGACCCAGACACCTTAATTACGATTATCACTAACCATTTTAAAACCATTCTCCAACCCAAACCATTCATCATAAATCAGTATTGAACTCAAGAATACTAACCACTAAACATACTTTGCAACAATGTATTCGAAAAGGCAACAGCTAAAATCTCTCTTGATTAAATTGATAATGTCCTAGCCTCCCTCCTCAAGAAAAAATCACCAGGACTCACATTTATTTCCTATGAAGCTTGGATTAACTTGGGCACAACAGCAAGAAATATTCTCAAAACTCTCTTTAACTCAGTTTTAAATTCTAAAACTTCTCCCTCACATTGGAAACACTCAGTGATAACACTGCTATCAAAAAAAATAGTATGGTCACATTAACTGTCTGACACAAGGCTGATCTCTCTAATTGGAACTAGCAGGAAAATATTCACAAAAATAATAAACAATAGACTGGCAAATATAATCTGTAAGAACAAAGTTCTTTCGAATAATTCATTTGCAGGACTCAATCATAAAAGCACTATGGAATCCATCGCAATTATATCTGCTGAACTTGAAGCAGCCAACAACCCCAACAAGGAACACTGGATTGCCTCATTTGACATCTTCAAAGCATTTGACTCAGTAAATCTACTAAGCCTTAAAGCAGCCATAGACCATATAAAATTCCCTCCCAAATTACAATATTAATCTTCAACCTTCTATACAATAAAAAGCTTAGCATAATTATTCATTACATACTAATGGATCCAATTATAGTCAATAATGACATATATCTAGATAAAACCCTAGCTCCACTTCTCTGGACAATATTTTATGACCCAATAGTAACCAGAGTCTCTAGGGACCTCCCAGGCAGAGCAAGAATTCTCACATATATAGATGATATAGCACTCTCAAGCAATAGTCTGATTAATCTTTAGGAGGCAACAAATATTTTCTGCATCTTCTGGAAGCTTAATTATATTAAATGCAATAAAAAAAAGACTGACCTCATCACCAATCTCAATCCCTCCCATTCCAACATGAAACAAATACTTTCTGTGGAAGACAAACAAATCTCAGCCAAACCCTACAACAATTCAATCAAATATCTCAGTATCTTTCTCTCTGGAAAATTAACTGTAAAGGTCACGAAACAAAAGCTCTTCAAAAAAATCTCAAACTTCACTTCAGCAATCGCAACCCAAAAACCTGGAATGGTACAATTATTAAACAAGTCTCCTACTGAATAATTCCAGCTCAGCTAGAATACATAGCCTACATCATTATCCCCTCGAACAATGAAGCTAGTCTCTTGCAATTGAAATTCAATAAAGTAATAAAATCAAAACTAGGTATGGAGAAAACAATCTCCAACAAGGTATTCCACTTAAAAGCAGATGTTGACATAGCTAAACTTCAGAATAGAAGAGACATAACAGCAGTAAAATTCTGGTAGCACGACTAACCAACCCCGCGACCTCACAGTCAACATTCCAGGAAGTTTGATCAATACAAAGCTTACAAGCCATCTGATCTTGTCTCATCTGCTCTTCTCAGCTATTCAGAATTTCATGGTTGACTCATGCAGCAAAAATTGCAAAAAAATATAAAGTTGATGTATGCCCAAATCCATGCCCCTTCATTATAAAAAATAATAACCTATCCATTGGCTTGATCACAAATCTGAATAAAAAAACTATCTTTTCACTTCACTATGCAAATATTAAGACACTAGATAATATATTAGCTTATAACAGCCCAACCAAGCTAACATGGAAAGAACTTTACATCCACAAGGGTTATATCATAAAAGGTTCAATTCCTAAGTGGTTTATCAATATCACAACATCATGCCTCCTATCAAAGGAAATACACTTTTCCTTTCTAATCCTCAACCACAATTCTAGGCATATCTTGAAAACAACTTAATACATTTTATCAAAGTCAGAGCTAATGCAATCATATATTCACTTATGAGTGGCAAATACTATAGTTTAGACATCCACAACAAACAAATCACAAGCTGCTCCTGTCTAATACAATCTTGTATAAAGGACAAGTTTTTGAGCCTAATAAGTTTAGTCTGATCCTACTCTAACAACAATCAGCATGAGCTTCTCAATAACATCAATGAACTTATTTATATCCTTTCACATTTGCCATCATATCACCTTTAACTAATCATTCATCTCTAAACAAGCAGACTTCATCTCCCCAGTATCTCA